TAAAATGTTGGAAATTTCTTGGGTGGCTGAGGGTCTGTTGGTTTCTGAGGAAGGACTTTGGCTCCATGGAATAAGTAAGAGTATAAATTTCGTGTACATGAATCGTAAGTAACTGAAAGGCTGACATCTGTAGTGACAGATACGTGACAAATCAAGGCTTAATTAGGATATTTTATTTCGATTAACTTGCTGGCCTCCACGGAACCACGACCCCCTGATGAGAAACACTGCTTTAGATAACTCATTTATAGCACAAACATAGTATTGTGCTGACCAAGAGTTGGGTTGAATCGAACCCACAGACACGTGAACATGATCGTTCTGTAACGTTCGCTATTTCTACACACGACGTCCTTTGTCGTATTTCATCTCAATTATTACTGATGTTAATTCTTCCAATTTGCTTTTATTATTTTTATCACGGGGCGCTCTTAAAGGGAACCTGTAAGCGCGTATCTTCAGAATAACTCAGATATTTCTGCCTAACTTGAGCCAATGAAAACGACGAAAATATTGCAAAACCTTGTCTCAGGCAAAAAGGTGTTGGCCGGAAATAAACAGTCGCATATAGAAGGCGTGTTAGAAGCAAAATCGGAAATAAGACAAATTTATTTACATCCCACTGCGGGACTACTCCGCGATTAGAAATGTAAGAAAAAGCTCACAATAAATAAAAAAACTCAATTTCTGCAAAATAGAGGGTGTGTTGATGTTCACGTTTAAAACTTATTAACGACATGGAAACTTTCCGTTTGGCGACAGTCACTATGAGTGTAAGACATAATGACACAGCAACAACCACGCACATCCTCATTGAAAGTTTGTAAGGAAGGTCGGCTGCTAGATTCAGCAGCGACTTCATGCTCCTGTAACTATTTGTCGCCTTCCTAATATCTTGTTCGTGTAGAGCAAATCAAATGAAGTGAAATTCGAAATTCGCTATTTGTTGCAGTTTAATTATTCACTTTCATAATCGATCTACTCCACGATTTAAGTCTTCCTATAAATGTTTGTGGTTATACAGTTGGTTGAAAATTCCCTACTTCATCATCGTGTTAACAAAAGCCCAGCATGGTAGCAGATCCTTAGCCAGTTCAATCTGTCCACTCCTAAAAACCTTATTTATCCGGATCACGAATATGTTTAAGATGACTGTATTCTGGGTTTTTGCGCCGTATAGACTGGTAGAAGTTTAACTGCGTTCCAGAGGTCTCATCGCCCTGATGATGGAGGCAGCTAGGACCTCTGAAACGTCGGTAAACTTCTACCAGACAACAAGGCTCAACAACCCAGAAGACAACCATCTTCAGACTCACCGCCGTGAGAACCTCAAATCCTACACAAACATTGTCCTTTCAAACAAACTAGATCTCCAAGGTAGGCTCTTCTTTTGATATTCTAGGGTAGAAATGCTGTATATACATTGCTAGTCACCCCTGTACAATGTATAGGGGACTTAGATCTTGTTACAGTGTAATTTAAATACATTTAATCCTAAATATTTCGAAATATTTTTGGTTCAAATTCTGTTATGTTTGTTGTACTAAGCTTGTGTCAACATACAGATGCAGGTGGTACAAACTATGTCCGCCAACTGAAAATAATGAACTGTCACTAGTAACTGTTACGTCGGGCTGTTAACCACACTGCAAACCAGACAACTTTCCAGGCTATGACATCGCGGCTTTATCTTGTGGCCGCAGTTAATTTCAGCAATTATTAAATTACTCAGATAAAGTCACAGTTTACAAACATAAACAATAACAAATGTAGTGTTTAGTTTTAACTACGACTAAAGCTAAGAGCGGATTAATGTCGGACAGTGTTTGCTGGTATCAGTCGAGAACCTTTCATCTACCCTCCTCAATCCAAAATCTAAGATTAAAATGAACACAAATCTCAATTTGTCTACCGCGCCAAGGGAAGAACACAACGAGCATCTGGGAACAAAACGTTGAGGAGAATATTTGGGCTTAAAGATGATCAAAGGGTACAGCAGGATGGATAAAATAACACAATGATAATTGATATTCTCCAAATAGTATTAAAGTGATAAAACCGAGAATGATCACACTGCTAAGACACAGGATATACTAGAAATTTTGTCCATCTGAGCTAGTATGTCGATGCTGAACTTTTGAGATCCTAACAAAGACTTTAGTACAATCAACACAAATGGCCAAGGAAAATCAAGTACAATGGATTTAATCACGGGTACCAACATTACAATTTCACTGTAAACCACTGTAGTCTTATTCAGGGACTCCGACGGGCACCATTGATTAGTCCTAAAATAAAATGGTAAAAGATATAATAATAATTCATATTAACTTATGGGACAATTATTGTAAAACTGCGTATATTATTAGGAAATGCAACTGCGTTTCATACGTACTCCAGTTAATACATTTAAACTCTCACCGGTAGATTATACAAAATGGCAATTAATAAACGAATTTAAGCTAACAGAATTGCAAATCAGTAAACACATCCCTGTCCAAAAGCGCCCGGGTTCCTACAGTGAGAACCTTAAATCTCATCTGATAACTTGTCTCTGAGTTGAGCCATTACGCTTACATAAGAGAATATTCTCAAAATTTCATTCGAACCCTAAGGGTAATATTCAGTGATATTTTAAAATAAGAACTTGGTATTATTTTCAAACTTTTCTATCACTCCACATTAACAATGACATTTTATTTCTACTTAACCATCGTGAGTTTATTTGTGGGGTCCGCAGTGGCCGTGCAGTCTGAGGCGTGGGCCTTGTGCCGCTTGGTCGCTGGGACCGTGGGTTCGAATCCCACTCAAGCCATGGACGTTTTGTGTCTTTGTGTGTTGTGCTGTCCTGTGTACAGGTAGAGGCCTTGCGGCGGGCCGGTCCCTAATCTAAGGAGTCCTACCGAATGTCTATAGATCGAGCCAACGAAAAGTTGGGACCCGCAGTGCTCAGGCACTTGAAGAACGGGTCGTTCCCAGTATCCCAGAGTTTATTTGTAGACTAGAAATCATTAATTTAAAACTGCGTGTAGGTTAGAAAGTATATATACTTAAGCAATACATTCATTTTCATATTTATGCAATTTGCGAATGAAACAGGGGCCAACACAGACTGTGAGGTAACTTCCCACCTCTTCGAGTAATTGTAAATAACACAGCCGAAGAGACTCATTGCAACAAAATAATGTCTGCAGCTCCAGTCCTTCTTTCATGAAGGTTTGTAGAATGTCTGTTTGTCTGTCCGTCTGACCGCCAAACTGTCTGTCCCACATTAATTACCGCTGCTTGACAGGGGAGGCAGAAGCTACATGTCTAGCCCATCATAAGCTTCTAGATTTCAACTAACCAAACAATACAGAACGTCCCTTAATACATATGATACATCTTTCTGCATCATGGCAGCAGGACTGGAATTACGAGCGTCAGTTTTATTCTAAAGTGCCACCTGCCAACAGCAACAGAAGCGTGTAGGCAAATTTATTATACTATTTAGTTTGTAACTTATATTTACTTCAAGATAAATACACTTCCTAGGGTGTAAACGAATTTCTAATAAATTTTTGTTACAGTGTTGACTTCATCGAGAAATTATGCAGGCTACACTGTTTTCTTCATACGACTTGACTCGTAATAATGACTCAAATACAAAACAGCGTACGACATTCATGTTCATCGTAACTTGTGTTTGCTGGCAAATGAAACTCCACAATAGCCCTGTCTGCTATTAGAAAGTTTACATCTGTAGTGATATAAGACATGGTGTATTGTTTGTGTCTGTTATCCTGAGTATTCTCAAGGACAAGGCTGAAAACTACGACAACGAGGTTCTTCCCTGGCTCGGACAAGGCTGTTCCCACATTGTGAGAGGCAGAATACGTCACTGAGTTGACCAAGAATGCAAAGAAAACACAGATAATTACTATCTGTTTATACTGTTACATAACGTTCACATTAATTCAATGACGCCTAGTTTTCACATCAGACGCAAGTTGAAGTTTTTATACGTTAATTGATTCTTCGTTTATTCAACACAATTCTCTAAACTGCGTGTCTTACATAATGTCGAATGAAAAGAAAAATGTGAATGAATAATTGGGAAGGCAGCGGTGGGTAGTCTGTGGTATGGCGGTCGATGATATCCCTGTATGCTCCTGAAGGATAGACGAGAATGACGGAAAACCTTAATCACTAAAATCAGTTTCGAAAATTTGACTGAATACGAATCAGAAATGATAACACCTCCACCACAACGTTTGGTGATTCGTACACTGTTCAGTGAATAATATCTTACGTTCTTAAGTTTAAGTATTTTTTACGTCCCGCTACACGCCTATGCAGGCGCTTGGGGGGAAGTTTTGCAGCTTCTCCCAATAACTTTTTAGAGCCAAGATTCACAGAGTATAGAATTCGTAACAATTTAATGTTTTAATACATGTAAATATCCATCCATAACCTAAAAATTTAATTATCAATTTTGCAAGAAATGGACCATATACTCCCTCAAACTAAAACTTTTCCAAAACCTCATACGAAACACAATGTAGGCTGACATCTGGCTGGACTTTTGGTAGATATCTGCTATAATGAATTCCTGCAGTCCCTGTAACAGTACATTAAGCGAAGACAGTCCTCAGGTCAGTATTTAAAATAAACACGATAATGAACAATCGGATTGTAGAAAAAAGTTAAATTTCTTAACAGACTGATCAATTGTCAGCTTCTCAAGAACGATTCTGTTCCATGAAGTCAATCATCAACCCAACAGGCGGACTGCTTATAAGTGCTATTTTGTGAGATTTCAGGTTCTCACTCGGGGGAGCATGAAGATGAATGTCTTCTGGGATGTACCGTGTAGTCTCATCGCCCTGATGACGGAGGCACCAAGCTGTTTTGAAACGTCGGTAAACGTTTGCCAGACTCCACGGTGTAACAGTCCAGAAGACAGCCATCTTCATAAAAGAAGAAATGCGTTACCTGTTTATCTCTGTCTTCTGTTGCAGTTCAAAACGTGGACTTGACCTGGGCCTGAGCCGCGGCTTCTCCGGCTCTCAGGCAGCAAAGCACCTCATGGGACTCGCAGCTGCAAACTACGCCGGAGGACCTGGCAGAAGGCGACGCAGCGTTGATGAATCCTCATAAGATGCTAGCAACGCCATTTTCTTCACATCCCCCATCAACATGGCACTATTTATTGACTAATTTACTGTTACGTCTATTAAATAACCGTCAGATCTCATTTGCTATGTAATAAAGTAAAATGTTTATCCTGGATTCCGTTAGAATTAATTAACTCTAGTCATAGGAACAAATACATGGCCTATTTGTTCATCGTGGGTCTAGCGATGTTAATTTTATTGAGACGATAGTCAGTGACAGCTCCGTGTAAGTGTATTTGTCATTATCATTGTTCTCTCTACATGATATCATTCCTAATGTAAAAATGTGTCCATAATTACATAATAAATTGAGCAACAACTTGTAAAATAGATACACTTCATCAAAAGCTGACGTGTGTTTTGAATTTCCTATCCACTTACAGTGTTGTATCCCGAAAGGGATTGTGAAATGTGTTGGCTAACTAGGGCCTGCTTAGCTGGCGTCATATATCTGGATTTTTGAGGATCTGTACATGCAAGGTCCTGAAGGCAGAAACGAAATGAATACGGAAATTTACGGGTAAATGTGTTTTAAAAGGAGGAGGATACCATTAAGCCTTATAATCATCATTCAGCGCTCAGAACCTGTAGCTCCACAAAACTGCCTCATTCTTTCTTGTGACGAATGAATTCGTTAATAGGGTCCTTATGTCCAGTCAAATTTCACCAATTGAAGATTAAATATCCGATAAATCAGTCTGCTAGCAGTTTGAGACAGACATTTTACCTCACCCAGAATGACCTTCCACACCTTCACACTTCAATAATATTGTGTGATAAGCAATCCTACGTTCAATTGGAGAACACGGCGAAACGTTAGGAACAGCTGCAACCATAACAACTAGTACACATCCCCCCACCAAAAGCCCATATGTTTTTAATTTGGATTCAATCCAAATACCATTGCCAAATACGATGGGTCAATCTACACTCGCTTCGTACAGAATGTCTGAATGCTGAACAATGTTCCCATTTGTAAGCTACAACGTCTTAAAAACTGCAAAACATCAGAGAATTTTATTTAAACTTGTGTTCAGAAGCTTTGATATGAAATAGGAAGAACAGAAAACGTAGATGCATCGGATCAATACATTAGATTAAAAGTTATTTGCCTAAAAGGAGCCCAATCTTCCAAAGCACTCAAAAGTGGTCCCAGAGCACCAGAGTTTGAAAAAAAATACTCTAGTATCGTGAGATGAATAAACTTCGTGTCCCTGAAGAAGCCTTCAAGCATGCATTCACCAGAGCACGAATCTGAAACCCTGCTCTATCTGACCTCACATTCAGCGTACTGGCTGCGCAATAGAACACTTTTGCCCTTCGCCTACATGTTTCGCTTGTATTCTTACACATCTTTAGAGGCTCACATTACAAAATTGTATAACCTAATGTTACTGATTGTTTGAAATACTTTGCAAAGATGTGTTATACATTAATTTATATCAATGCCAAAGCCTGTTGAAATTCATCGGGTTATTATTTTTGTATCCCTCCTTTCTTACCTTTACCTGCTTAAGCATTTATCACAAACTCCTTTCCTATCCCTTCCACATCTCAGTCCATTCAGATCACCCCGTCCTCCCTTGCTAATTTAATCCTCTTTTAACTTCACACGTCACATCACATACCTTTATATGCGACATTCCTTTCTTAAACAGCATCGCAAACTCGTGTTAGTCTTTTGAAGGCCGTGGTTGGTTGCGTGCATCGTATAGTTGTCAGGTGGCACTTGGAGTACATGAGGCATGCCTTATACTCATTCTTGACTTTGGCACTAGATTGGAGGGTAAGAGGTCAGTGTTTCGCCTGCGGGGAAATGATCCCGGTACCCATTGGATAGGAGACTGGGTAAGCCTCAGAATCGGTCTGGTCGCAAAGGCTGTAAGAAAAATCCTTTCCTTTGCCGGAATTTCAAACCCGATCGTCCAGTCCGGAATCACACACTGTACACATTGAGCTGCCCACAGTCTATTAAAGTAGTCCCTGTGTGAATATTCTGTGTTTAAAATTTAACTGCTTAATCCTCTTGATCTCTTCGTCTTGTTGTTCTCCGCTGTCAGCTATTATGTCTTCTTTTTGTGCGAAATGTTATGCCATTTATTTAAAAAAAACAGGATTTTGGAACATAAAATCGGAAGCTAAGTTATATCCGACAGTAACTGTAGATACTAAACGCACGGGTAATTTATGCGTGTTTGCAAAATTTTAACCTAACATGTATAAACAGTTTCCGTTACTGGTCATCTTGACTAACTCTGAATGCGTCGGTATTGACGGAAAGAATGCTCCTTTTCAGCTCCAATGTAATCGTTTCCTTTTCTTCTCTGTTCCTTGAT